TCACAGCGTGGATGAGGAGGAAGAAGTTAATGACTACTTGCCTTCAGTAACAGTCTCTGTCCTGGACCTGAGCCATCTCACCAGTGAGCAACAGTCTCAGGTAACACCTCTGATTAATTCAGACATATTTCAAAAGTACCCAGGTCGCACGAGTCTGGTGGAGCATGACATTGTTTTAAAACCTGATGCAGCTGTGAAGCGTATGAGTTACAGGATACCGGAACGCTTCCTGGTGGAGTTAAAGGAGGTGGACCTCATGCTGTCTCTTGGAATCATCCAACCTTCAACAAGTGAGTGGTGCAACCCTGTTGTGTTGGCTCCGAAAAAGGATAGCACGATACGTTTTTGCATCGACTTCAGGTATCTCAATTCCATATCAAAATTTGACTCTTACCCGATGCCACACATTGACGATCTCATTGAGCGTTTGGGGAAGGCAAAATATCTAACGACCATTGATCTCTCCAAGGGATACTGGCAAGTACCTCTCACTAAACGGTCTCAAGAGTTGACAGCATTCCGTACTCCGTGGGGATTGTTCGAGTTCAGTCTTACCATTTGGTCTGCATGGGGCCCCAGCAACATTTCAAAGGCTAATGGATAAGGTACTCTGTGGGCTCTCAGCATTCACCTGTGCGTACCTTGATGATGTTGTTGTTTTCAGTGGAACTTGGGAAGAGCATGTGGATCACTTAAGGATCGTGCTGGATCGGCTGTGTTCCGCAGGCCTTACCATCAATCCAGCAAAGTGTGCTCTTGCTAGGACTGAAGTCCAGTACCTCGGATTTACTGTTGGAGGTGGGACAATTAAACCACAGGTTGACAAAATTAATGCAATTGCATCATGTCCTCTTCCACAAACCAGGAAACAGCTGCGATCCTTCCTCGGCATGGCTGCGTTCTACAACAGATTAATTCCCAACTTCTCAGCTAGAGCAGCCCCACTGACGGACAGGATTGGCTCAAGATGTCCCAATAAGATTCGGTGGACAGCTGAAGCTATTGCAGCTTTCAAAGACCTTCGCCAGTCCCTGAGTAAGGACCCCGTTCTGCACTCATCAGATTTCACAAAAGTCTTTACATTGCAGACTGATGCTTCTGAAAAGGGTTTGGGAGCAGTGCTTCTGCAGGGACCACCAGAGGATCGACATCCTGTCGCCTACATCAGCCGTAAGCTGCTACCAAGGGAGAGCCGCTACGCAACGGTTGAGAAGGAAGCCTTGGCCATTAAATGGGCACTTGACTCTTTCAAATATTATTTGCTGGGAAGAGAATTCATCCTTCAAACTGACCACAAAGCCCTGCAGTGGCTGGAGAGAATGAAAGACACTAATGGGAGAATCACTAGGTGGTATCTGGCTATGCAGCCATACCGGTTTAAGGTTCACTATATCCCTGGTAAAGACAACACCATTGCTGATTACCTCTCTCGCTGCCTGATGGAAGATCCAGAAGTGGGGGGGTGTGTGATGGCCAAACCCGTGGCCACACTCTAAAGTTGGTAACTTTTGTATTTTCATTCTTCATTTGAACATAGTAATACATTTTAGTTGCCAATAACTTCATTGATTGGTTTGGATACATCTGTTCTATTTGTAAGCGTGCACATTTAGTTTACTTATGTATTCATACTAAATTTCTTTGCTTTCTGACTAACTTTTGTCTTTTTATTTCTTACCTGCCATCATCCCTGGGAGTTGCTGGACAGAAGATGGTAGCCAGGGTTTGAAACCATTAAATACAAAGGAAGATAATTGGACCACACCACTTCCTGCTGAAGGGGGGAATGTGTGTTTTCTTTACTTTAAAAACAAAGTATTTGTATTTAATTAAATATTTGAGTTTAGGGTTTAATGGGGTTTTTGATTTTCTTCTTTAGTGTTTAGTTTATTAACAAACTAGATTGTACTGCATCGTTTGTGATTTATGATTGTGTTTTGTTTGTTACCCCTCATGTGTCACAATGGTCTGATCAGCCATTATATATACCCTTGTATGTCATTCATGTTTAGGTCAATTATGTATGTTTGGGCAGTCATTTGGTTTGTTAAGGTTGCAGTCTTTGCCTGAGTTCAGTTTTGTTTCTTTGACCTCTTTTATGAGCTCAACATTTATTAGTCTTGTAAATATAATTTTTGGGGGTTAAATAAATGGAAACTATATTTTTCTAATAATTCCTGGGACTCCTCCTGTTTTTCAACTCGGTCCATCACATAATATAAACAATGAACAGTATTGGCTCCATTACAGACCACCCCTGGGGGACATCACAAGAAATTTCCAAGCTTAATGAGGAATATTCTCTCAACTTCCTGTCATTTCCTGTCACAGTGTTTCGCTTAAATAACAATAATTTCACCCCTCCCTCTAGAACAGGGGTCGGATTGGCCAGATGCTGGCAGATGTGTAAAAATAACTCAGTTGTTTGGTGGTGGCTGTGGCGGAGCTTCCACAGAGGCAACAGGTGGATGAGAGAAAGGTGAGGCAGGAGGAGAGACCCGAGGCGGCCGAGTGTCAGGTGAACTGAACATCAGGTAAGAAGTTCTGACCTGCAGTGTATCTGGGTCAGATATGAACCAAGTTCAGGTGGAGTTTATTTTAGCTGTGCTGACTTTTTACAGTCAGTTACAATAACTCGTACTGCTACTAGCTAGCATGACGGAGTTTCTATACAGCTGGGTGGGTGCTATGATGTTACTGATAGTGAACTTTATTCATAAGGTTAGTTAGTAGAGTTGCCGACCGTCCCGTAAAAAACTGAATCGTCTCGTATTCAGAGAAAATATTACGCGTTTCATGTTGAGCTGAAAGGAACAGTTTGTCCCGAACTTCAGCTAGAATGAAAAAAGACACAAAGCTGGATTTATTCTGTCGTTACGCTGCACAGCTGACTCTTCTTCTCTCCTGTTTCTACTTCAATCATGAAACTGATCAATGATCAGCTGATCGGCTTTTCTCTCTTGTTTGTTTATCGCCCACTTTGCACCAGAAGGAGGAAACCAGCGGATGTCGCGCTAAACAACAGCAGCACGTTTAAGCTGTTGTTAGAATTTATTTAATATTAATTTCTAGTATCAGCTGATGTTTGCTGGAGCCACAGCTGTAAAGCTGCTGGTCATGATGTCGGTTTGGTTATGTGGTGAGAGGGAAACATGAAGATGAAACCAGGAGATGTCCTTACTGAATCATCAGAGCTGTGATGGAGAAACAGGTTTACCTTTTAGGTGACATGGATGAGTTGAAGTTATGAACTGTTTCTGAGAGACAAATAACACCAGGATCCTTTTCTAAGTAGCTGATAGCTGCCAACATCTGTGAACAAATATAATCCTATAAAGTGGTTCTATCTAGTGTGTAACTGTTGATATAGAGCATTATTACATTTATTGCTAATGCAATCATATGGCACACTGACCTCTGAGGAAAGTTTAGATGCACTCATCATCAGAATGTTGCCGACCCCTGCTCTAGAAAGACTCATGCATACTGTACCTGTAATCTCATTGAGTCAGTTAATGCTGGTGATGTGTAACTGTGTGATCTGAATCTGTATTGATTGTCAGAGAGTAATTTATGTTTATCTCAGAACTTTTCTAATAACATATTTCTAGTGATGTGTATCTGCAGTTACAGCACAACATGACTCATTTCCTGTTGATGCGATGCAGATGTTGATTAGCGGTTCTGAGATCTCTTCCATGACCTGCTCAATAATTAACAACTGTTATAGTGACATTATTACAATCAGTGGATATTTTCTATTCACACCTGTTTCCAATACAGTTATTTCCACATTTATTTTTTATTTTTTCCAAATATATCTGCTCACTCCATCATGTCATAGAAAGAGGGAAACATTGCCTCTGTTGGTGAATCCAAACCCATGATGTCATCCTCGTAGCTGACATCATTTTTAACCCTTTGCTTATTTTATTTTTTAAAAATCTTTTATTATTATTTATTTTTTATTTATTCCTATTTCACAGCCTTATATCAAACACATGAGCTGTATTTCAAGCACTGAATTTACACTGTAATGATGTGTTTGTTTGATGGTGCAGTAGCTGGTGTGCAGATAGTTCCCTCATCACTTCCGCCAACGTGAACAGGAAAAACATGTCAGTAGGACACAGAGAGAGGACCGGGGGGCGTGGGGGGTCGTCACTCCTATGAATATGGTGGGGGTTGTTTTTTATGTTTAACTGAGAAATGATCCTCCAAAATAAATGATGTCATGTTACAGCAGCTGCTGTGTTTCGTTTTTATTTAATACTTATTTCATCTGTTCGTTTATCTTTCTTCATCGGTTTGTTCATTTATTTATTTTAATTTCAAAATGTGTGTCATTGCTGCACTTCCGGCTCAACTGCTGGTTCGGGATCGGTTTCCTGTAGTAAGGCGCAAGTGTTCCCGCCACAGACGGACCTCAGATCAGCTGTTGGGGTTAGCCTCTGCCTCCTCATCTTCTCCAATCACAGCTCCGTCCTGTCTGTGCCAAGTGTTGAGCTCGACAGAGGTGGGAGGGAGAGGGGGGTATAAAGGAAGTCGTACCACTTGGTCTTCAAAATAAGAGTCTTGAACTGAACCCTCAGGGTAACCTTACAAAAATGGAGAAAAAAGAAATACCAGATATTACCACATAAAGCATGATGATGTATCAACTCTTTCAATAATATTCTTGCTAATAACCTGTTGTGTGATTTGTGCAACCGTGTAGGTTTAAGCAGCCCTGTCCTGACCGAACTTGTTCCATACATGCATCACGTAGAAAGCATCTTCCCAGTAAACACTCCTGTTTTGTAGCGTTAGTTAGTCCCTCTGTCTCTGCAAACCTTCCGTTTGTGTTGTTGGCCGCAGAACTCAGTAACTCAGCTTAGGCTTTGTTGCTGTATATTCAATCTAATCCATCAAACACACACACACACACACACACACACACACACACACACACACACACACACACACACACTGAATAAATACTCGATTAAGAGTTTTGCTGTGAAGTGTCGAGCAGGAAGCAGTCCGAGTGCCTCTCGGGCGCTTGGTTCGGCCACTTTCGTTTGTGGTATCCGTCCCAGCCTGCTCCCGGCGAAGCACGGAGACACACGGGATTAGGAGCAGCAGATGCTCCGGTCCTCGGAGCGCAGGACGTCCCCGGTCACACCGACGTGTCTACCTGTGCCTGTGGAAGCTCCCGTTATCAGCAGCGAGGGAGGCGCATTACAGGGAGGCTCAGCACGCTGCATCAGCGGGACTCTTTATTCTAAAGCAGCAGGTTTAACGGGGCCTGTCAGTCTTAGTTAGTCAGGCAGTCTGGTGGAGCCGGCCCGATGTGATTGGGTGGAGGTGGTGGTCACTCTGGCTGCTGGTGTCATGGTTCCAGTCGGAGATGGGCCCGAGCTCTTGTTCGTCGGCGCAAACAGCGCAGTGATACGCGGTGATGCGGATCTCTTGCTGTAAATCCACCTGCAGCCACCGTAAGGGCTGCTGTTCCTAATAATGTGCCTTTAATGCTTCCGCAGGGCTCTGCGTGTATGGCCGGCTCCCGGTGCCGTGGAACTGCGGCATCCATCAAACGTGCGGGATGACGGAAGGAACCGAGCCTCCTCTCTCACCCACACGCTGAGGAGGCGTTCATGGGCAGCGGGAATTCCAAACACTGCGTGACTTGAACGAGTTGAAACTTTGTCAGGCAGGAGCTGTTGGGGCAGCATGGGGGGGTGATGAACAGATGAGACGTTTGGCTCAGTAACGGAAGAAGGACATAAACTGAGCAGTAACCTACAGCACACACTGGGGCGACCACAGCAGCGCCGTGGTTAAACAATACTGTCGGCTCATTGGTCTCTGTGACACTATGATGGTGGGAGGCACCATCACCTCGTACCCGAGGACTGCGGTGGTCTGAGAATCAGGGTTTCAGAGCATCTGGAGAACTGTCAGCACTATGGACTACCACTCCGAGTGCTGCTTCTGTGACCCTGAGGAGGGTCACGGCAGCCTCGATGAGCCAGCTCTGCATAGCATCCACGCACCCAACCGGATCCGGCCCTCCTCGTACCGAGCCTTGAGGAGTGCTGTGTCCAGCCTGGCCCGCATCGATGACTTCTTCTGTGAGAAGATCGGTTCAGGCTTCTTCTCGGAGGTCTTCAAGGTATGTGACCTCACCTGAGTCAACTGCAGCGTCAGAGTAGTCCTCTGCTGGTGTGCCCCATAATCCCCCCGTGAAGAAGCCATGTTTCCTTCATCTTCCCACACATTCAGATAGACAGACAGTGGCTGGGGTCTGACACTTTATAGCAGGTGTGGGGAACTCCTCGAGGGCCGGTGTCCTGCAGCTTTTAGATGTGTTCTTGACCCAACACAGATGATCCACATGACCTCCTCAACATGTCTTAAAGTTCTCCAGAGGCCTGATGATGAACTAATCATGTGATTCAGGTGATATCTACAACCTGCAGGACGCCGGCCCTCCCTGCTCTGCCTTATAGCCTTTACAGATGAGTTTCCTCTGCTGAGAAAATCAGTTTGTCCTGCTTTTGTTTTTGCTAGATTTCTGCTAGCTTTAGGTGTTGGAGGTGAAAGGTGTGCGGGACAGTTTATTGTCAACTAATGCAGACTGACAGGCGTTTGGAAAGTAGGATGGCATTTATTGTATTAATAGATGTTTCTGAAGTAGAATTTTCCTGCACGTGAATTTTTGATTCTCTGAGCACACGTTTTAATAAGACTTTGCAAAAAGACCACATTTGGAGAGTTGAGGGTTTAGCAGTGACACGATTCGTTTTGTCACTCACAGACTTTATTCACAGTAGAACACAGAAAAGAAATACAACTTTTAAACTAAGAAAACGGACCATTTAAGGAAAATATTAGCCCGTTTGTAATTTGATGGCAGCTGTACAGCTCAAACTCTTGGGACAGGGCTGTGATTCCCCCTGTGCAGCATCCCCCTCTATTCTCCGAGAGAAGGTTCAAGTCTGGGACCAGACTAGTACCTGGATGTTTGGGAGAGGACTATGGGCCCGCTGTCTAATAGAGGATCGTAGCTGCTCAATAGTCCTGGGTCGTCTTTATTGTATTTTTCTGTTTTCCATTCCTCGGTGACAGCTGGAGAGCCGACAGGTCAGTGCACCATCTTGACTCTTGTACTACGAAGCCGTGCTGTTGCCATAGATACAGCCAGTTGCTCCCCCGGATCATTTTTAGCCTTTTAGTTTAGTTTTAGGTGATTTTCAGTCACGTACTCTAAGTTATATTCGTTTATTAGACATCAGACAGTTAAAATGTTCTTCCTGCTGTGAGTTTGCAGTTGTTATTAGTAATGCTTTGTTGTCAGCTAATAAGCTATTGATTTATTACTTATGCCATGATCCACAACCTGAAAAGAATATGTGACGGCACATAAAGCCACCCTTGGTGACAGTCATGTGTCCCTGCACTGTAGTGTTTGTGAGACTAAATGAAATATGAACTGGTGCAGGTTAACCCTCTGTACCCGGTTAGTATTCCCACAGAGCGTCCAGAACTTTGAAGGAAACACTTGAACGTATCGAATAAACCACTGAAAAGTGTTAATTTATATTTTCCATGAGGGTACGGTGGGATTTTAGATGGGCGGGGTGTAGGAGAAGTGTTCACCTCAGCCAGTCGCAGCAGATGGCCCCGCCCCTCCCTGAGCCTGGTTCTGCTGGAGGTTTCTTCCTGTTAAAAGGGAGTTTTTCCTTCCCACTGTCACCAAAGTGCTGCTCATAGGGGGTCATATGATTGTTGGGTTTTCTCTGTATGTGTTATTGTAGGGTCGACCTTACAGTATAAAGCGCCTTGAGGCGACTGTTGTTGTGATTTGGCGCTGTGTAAATAAAACTGAATTGTATATGAGCTGAATAATAAAGTTAGTCAATCATCAGCACAAGACCATAATAAAGAGAACGACCGTGTAGTTTGGAGCTGGCTGAACAACACATGGCTGGATGGCATGAGCTTCATCACACTCCTCCTCCACTGCTCCCTCGTCACCTCATTCTCTTCCTCCTGACCTGAGCCCTTACCTCCTTAGCTGACGTCAGAGCTGTAATGAAGGAAACTGTGCATAAACATGCAGAATGATTTAGTCATGATATATTTGCAGTTATTGCCAGCAGACTAGATGTGCAACCCTTCTCTATAGAGAAAATAAAGTAGTCTCTAAAAACCTGACAGCTAGCCACCTGTGATGTGATGCTAGGACCACAGATGCAGCCCACAGTGTCTTTAAAAAGCCACACTTCCTTGTGATAAAGGGTCTGATTACACTGGCACATCATCTGAGAGTTTACTTGCTGATGACGTCAGAGCGACGATGCTGCACCTCAAAGCTTCAGTAAGACCAGCGGTTTGGGATATCCTCGTCACCCCTTGGTTATCGTTGCAGCAGACGCTCTCTGACCTGTTTCACTGCCTCACAGACATGGATGCTTCACACTGGGCTTGTTGACAGCGGAGCTAAACAGCCTTCTGACAGGATACAAACTACAGCCAGTGTGTTTTGATTTGTCGGGGAAACATGGAAACTATTTGATGCACATATATCTGTTTTTAATCCTAATTTATGATTAAGTGTCTCCAGTCTGTGGTATACGCTTGTCGGCCAGTGGCAGTTGTTATTAGTCAACAGTGGGATACAGAAGGTTAAACAGAGCATATGTGTGTGGGCGGAGTCACAGGCCCATTTTGGCAGTTTGGTTTTGATTGATCAAAGTGTTCCTGAGAGGATTTCATTTCCTGTTGAGGAGTTTTTCCAACTTGTCCAACTCTGAGTTATTAGTGGCACCAGCTGTGCTCGAGGCACAAGCTTGGACCTGTTTTACGGCTCCGGTACCCACTCGGACCAGATTTACATCAACTGGTGCCAGTTGATCTGTGGCTATGGGAAGGGCTACCCCAATAAATTCACTGGTGACTGCAGGACACTTACCCCAGGTTTTGCCAGCGCTATCACGATATCACTGTACTTCACTCACGATACTATATTATGGCAATTTCACTTTTTTTTTTTTTTTAGTACAAATGATGTCGTCAAAGTTGAACTTTGACAGTATCTGTTTGATCCAACATGACAAAGTTGTGGTATTGTCAAGCGCTGTCACTGAAACCTGGCGTCAATGTTGCCATAAGAAGGAGTCGTCCTGCTGTCGGTCTGATATCAAACTCAAAGTTAGCAATTACATGGAACCTGTTTCAGATAGTACGAGCACCGACTGCCATCAGAGACTCTCTGACTTTTAAAAAGGGAGTTCTTCCTCCCCACAGTCATCGCAGGAGATCATCTGATTTCAGTGCTGTATGAGGGAACCATTATGAACCATTATAAACTGGTGATATACAAATGAGATTGTATTGAACTGAGGAGACAAAGGAAAACCAAACATGTGCAAAGCTTTTAAGACTTGTTTTCTTCTTCCTTTCCAGGAATAGAAAACATTATCGCAGCTATTCAGCAAACCACTCACAGCAGGTCTTCACTCCAGTGTGTTTATGTTTGTGTTAATGTTCAGAACAGCACAGATGAGTGATTCCTCACTGACGATCGCTCCTCGTTTTTTAATAAACGGGCAAAGTTTTCCTTTAAAGCCTTCATTCAGCGTAGCAGTGGACACTTAAATTAGCATGTTTCTTCATGTGGCATCATCAATTGGAAATATCTCATTAACTACTTGAGTTTTCAAATACAGGAAACAGCTGTTCCTGTGTCAGTCAGTCAGTGTTAGAGCTTTTATTTCTTTTTGACTGTACAGAAGTCAGACTGACATCTTAGCAAACTTCTCCATAGCTCCTTTTCAGCAAAGACACAGTTTAACAATTTCCCAAAAGAAAAAATATTATTCGGAAATACACGAGTTAGCTTGTAAAACATTGATTTGAATCTACATTTTACATTTCTGATTTTAGCCTCGTATAGAAACAGAAACTTTCCTGTGGTCAGATTTAGTGAATGGTATGTGTGCAATTTAAAACTCCATGGGGCGGAGCAACAGATGCCTCCAGCCCTGGATGTTGTCTCATCCATGGATTGAGGTTTGCATCAGCTGCTGACAGCTCTCAGTGACGCTCAGCATAGAGGCTGACACGACTGCCTCGGTTAGTGCCTGGTGATGTAGCTCCCTTAAACCTTGCATAGCCGTTACTCTGCAGTAGGTAAGCAAGTGCAAGGTCTGTCCCTGGTTTACCAAACATCAAGCAATATTTGATGCTGCACCTACAGCAGGCAAGCGGAAGGCTGCCAGCATCCTTTTTTTATTTTTCCAAAGACTGTTTCAGTTCTCATCCAAACAGCTGATGTGAAGTTCCAGATATTTACCCCCAGTGAGGTTGTCACCTTGTCCTAATGGTAGCCTGTGAAAGCACCAAATCACAACAACAGTTGCCCCAGGGCCTTCACGCTGTAAGGTAGAGGTCCTTAAATGACTGAGAGAACCCCAACGGCCTCCTACGAGCGAGCACAGCGAACCTGTGACCTTAATGACCTCATGTGACCACTCGCTCTTTTTTTGTCTCGTGTAGACTTTTATTTTATGCTCAGCAAGAAAGAAGAAGCCGCTGTTGTCGTCTGTTGTGTAGTTGAAGATAATCACTCGGATGCTCCTGGGCCTTGGTCCCTCTCAGCAGTTCTTATACTCCACCAACTCCATCCACTCTTGCATCCAGAGCAACGTGCATGTTGGCAAGAGTGTGAAATAGAGCAGCTTATGTTGCAGCCACGGTGGAGCCGTGCAGCAGTGTCAGTACCAACAGTCACTCAACTCTTCTGCTTCAGGTTTAGTTATCGCTGTACATTAGTGGTCTCTTATCATTGCCATAGCACAACAGTAATGCTAATGTGGGAGCTAGGCAGCAAATGCTACCAGTCCCATCCATCTGCATTAATGGACAGTGTTCATTTACCAGGCTAATGCATCTGTGTGTCGCTGCAGTTTGAAGAAACAGTAGCAGCATAAAAAACAGCTCTACCTAAAAACGTGTTTATTATTATTTATACCTTTAAAGTTATGTTGCTCCCATTTTCAGAATTGTCACTGTTGGTATTGTTTGTATTACACGTGTTGCCGTACAGGTGCGTCACCCTGTTGGTGGGTTACCCTGCTGCTACTCTGATTTAGCCATACGTAGTCGTAT